ATATATATATATATATATATATATATACACACACATACATATACTTACATATACATACATATATATAAATATAATAACTGTATTTTCATGGGGGTATCTGAACTGATATGATTGCATCAAAATGCAATGAAATTATTGTAATCACTTAATATTTACTTACATTTAGCTTGTTGATTTCCAAGAGTACATATGCTGAGATGTGAGTAGAAAATATTTACCAAATGTGGAATTTTCCTTTTATTTAGGATCTCTATCAGACACAGTGATATATATTTTTTTATTTTTACACTCCGTCCGTTTTGCACTTGTATACTGTAATTTGTTTTCAAAACAATCCGATTATAAAAGTTAAAAATTAATAAACCGGTGCAGCTTCATTCTGATAAGGTCTGAGACATTTCCTGGATTGTGACGGTGAGTCACATTTAAAACATTTTTTTTTTTTTGATTGGATGTTTGTTGGATGAGTCAACATAAAGTGGCTGAGGTCAGATTAGTTATGGACTGCACTTTGATTTTATATTTTTTTAGTCTTCAATTGTTTAAAAAAAACTATGTAAATTTATTCCTGCGAGTTTCATTTTATAAGTTTGAATTTTGACTAGTTTAATTCCTCTCAGCTGATTGGTCAACGCCCTGTAAATCACAAATTTAACAATCCAATCAGAGAAGAGACGGGTGTGTCCTGGGATATCATTACTTTATACTAGTTTAGTGGAACAAAAACAAAATAATTTTCTAGATATTCTTCTTTCAGCTGCTCCCTTCTCAGGAATTGTTACAGCCAACTAACTCGCACGGAGATTTGATTGTTTATACGCCGGACGTCCTTCCTGACACAACCACAGACCAGCGAGCTACCACAGCCCTCTGTGTGGATCAGGGAGCTGCCATCTAGGGCGCCCGGGGGGCAGATGGTGGGGGTTAAGGGTCTTGCTCAAGGGCCCAGAGTGGGGCAAATGAGGGTGGAAGCAGGTGTGGGTGTTTTACCTTTTCTACCCACATATGGATGTCAGTCCAGGGAGCTACCCTGAAGGGTAAAACTGTGGTGCACAACGATGATCTGGAGTAATGAATGAGTGAAAAACGTAATCCTTAAATTACCAAAATAGAACGCCCAGTGTTTTCCTTTTTTTCTTCTAACTGCACAACACACACTTGTAAAATCCAGTTTTCATGTAAAAACCTGTGCAGCTGCACCTCAGTCTTGGACTTAAATACTGCCAGCATCCGCCAAAGACATCAGGAAACACCTTGACTCTCACTTTTAAACAAGTTATTTTTTTCTACAAAAAAATAAGCGGGTTTCATTCATTATTCATGAAAATCTAATTCATTCTACTTTTTTTTTTTAGTCTGAATCAAATTTAATTTGCAACAATCCACTTCAGTGCAATTATAATTCAAATTACAATAGACTGCGGCAAATCTTCACTTTAAGTCCATAATCAACAATCACATCTCATGGAATTACATTTTTACATTTCTTCATATGCCATGCTGACAATACTTATAAAGTGTTCAACTATCCACTTATTATAGAAAGGATCTAAACTCACTGCAAGGATGACAAATGTAAATAGTCCAATTTTCCAAATAAAAACTTTTTGCTAATTTGAAAGCCTTCAGATACGAAGGTTTCCTTCTTAGTGAAACCAAAAAGCAGTAAAGATTTAGTTTTTATCCATCCATCATCTTCCGCTTATTCCAGTCGGGTCGTGGGGGCAGCAGCTTGAGCAGTGAAGCCCAGAGATCTCTTTCCTCAACCACCTCTTCTTGAAGGACCCCATGGCGTTCCCAGGCTAACCGAGAGATGTAGCCTCTCCAGTGTTTCCTGGGTCTTCCCCGGCGTCTCCTCCCAGTCGGACATGCCCAAAGCACCTCCCTAGGGAGGTGTCCAGGGGGCATCCTTACCATAGGTGAGGGGAGGAACATAGACTGACCGGTAAATGGAGAGCTTTGCCTTACAGCTCAGCTCTCTCTTCACCACAAAGGACCAGTACAAAGCCCGCAATACTGCAGATGCTGTACCAATCTGTCAATCTCACACTCCATTATTCCCTCGCTCGTGAACAAAACCCAGAAATAATTTAACTCTTCCAGTTGAGGCAGAACCTCACCCTCGATCTGAAGAGAATGATCCACCCTTTTCCGGTTGATTTAGTTTTTATTTTTCAAACAAACCAGTGACGTTGTAATTTAGGTTTGTAGAACAATCTAACTTTAAGCCCATAAAGAAGAGTGAGCTTTTGTCACAATAATAGTTACAGCAACCTAATGTGTATATGTAGCATTTCTGCAACTCCTGTTTGCAACGTGGGATAAATAAGTTGGGTTCATAATAAATCAGACTGAGTCGAAATCACTTCACTCATGAGTTGAGCAGAGAAGCCACAGCAGCTCCTACAATGAGCGCTCAGATCTGTAACAATATATCTTCAGTAAATTAATTCTTAACTGTTTTTATGACCCAAAAGAAAAAATCCAAAAACTATTTTCTATTTCAGTACAGAATAAACAACAAGTAGAAATTTTTGTCCAATGTGTCGTCTTTATTGATGGTCAAAAGGATTTAACTTGTTTTTATCTGTATGATGAAGACTGATTTGGTCACTGAAGCCAATTCCACACTTCAGTTCTCTTCATCTAAAAAGACAAGGACAAGAAATCAGTCAAACAGAACAATACGGTGATTTTCAATAAATATGTATAATCCCTGCAAAAGAAACAGATTTGATCTAATTGTATTCAAATGTTCAGTTCAAAGGTACGTGTTTAAACAAAGCCCTAAAAATCTACTCATTTAAAACATTTGAGGCAATTTAGGAACCAAAATGCAATATTTTTACTGGCAAATATAAAATGTGTTTTAAATCGGATTAAAATAACCACTTCATCGTTAAAGTTTATCATTTATTCATAACCACTTATACCCACTGAACAGAGAATGGATTTATGTTGAATAAAGTTGTTAGCAGTTTAAGAAACTACATTTCTCTCTGGACTCAGTTTTCTAATCACAAATTTGAAGAAAGGCTTCGAGTTCTGCTGTTTGCTACTAAAAATAAATGCCATCAGCTAACAAGCTAACAAACTGAACTACTCATGTGACTTCTGATGGCAATATATATATATATATATATATATATATATATATATATATATCAGTTAAGCTGCATGTTTTCCACTTTGAACTTGAAAGCTGTACAGTGAGGAAAATAAGTATTTGAACACCCTGCGACTTTGCAAGTTCTCCCACTTAGAAATCATGGAGGGGTCTGAATTTTTTATCTTAGGTGCATGTCCACTGTGAGAGACATAATCTAAAAGAAAAATCCGGAAATCACAATGTATGATTTTTTTAAATAATTAATTTGTGTGTTACTGCTGAAAATAAGTATTTGAACACCTGCCAATCAGCAACAGTTCTGGCCCTCAAAGACCTGTTAGTCCTCCTCTATAATGTCCACCTCCACTCCACTTATTATTCTAAATTAGAAGCACCTGTTTGAGGTTGGTAGCTGCATAAAGACACCGGTCCACCCCACACAATCAGTAAGACTCCAACTACTAACATGGCTAAGACCAAAGAGCTGTTGTATTATGAAATTCTTTATCAAAGGTTCGTGAACGATCGGCACATATTATTCAGACGAAGGAAAAAATGACACACACACAGACTGTAACTTGCTAGAATAATATTTGTCATTTATTAATCTGCCACAAGAAATAACAGCCAAGCAAAAGAGTCATGTACACTCTTAACACACAAATTGATATGAGTATCCCTCACCGTGACAAAATGATCGGGAAGCCTTTCGATCCAATGACAGGAACTCAATCACACTGCCTGGCACCCGCGCTGGTCCAGAGCAAGACTTCTAAAAATTAAGTTGCCTGTCACACTTCCTTTATACCATTTCCCTGACCGGATCGCGTGAGAGCATTCAAAAACAAGTTTGATGGTTTCCAGAACAACGGATGAAGAGCTGGTGATTTATTACAAATAAGGAGCACGGTGACCTCAAGGCGGGCCAAGACCCTGAAGTTAGAAATACTCCTTAAACTTCCTAAGAGGAAATACGCACTCCTCCATCCCTCTGCAAACCATCAAAGAATGTCCCAAATATTAACAAAGGCAACATAAATCATTCCCCCCTTTGTCTCTGTGACATGTTAAACAAAGTACAATCCCTAATATGTGAATAACACGTTGTATAAGTGTGTTTAAATAAGTGTAATATAGGTCTAGATTGGCATAAAAGCATTAAAATAATAATTTCTATATCATTCCACCCTTGCTTTTATGGCAATTTTAGACATTTAATTCTGAATAAGTAACACACACAAAATATATATGTTTGAATTGGCATAAGGGCAACTTCACACCTTATAAAACATATTTTTATATCAGCTGTCCAAAGACACAAGAGACAAAATTGTAGACCTCCACAAGGCTGAAAAGGGCTACGAGGCAACTGCCAAGCAGCTTGGTGAAAAAAGATCAACTGTTGGAGCAACTATTAGAAAATGGAAGAAGCTAAACATGACTGTCAATCTCCCTCGGACTGGGGCTCCATGCAAGATCTCACCTCGTGGCGTATCAATGATCCTAAGAAAGGTGAGGAATCAGCCCAGAACTACATGGGAGGAGCTGGTCAATGACCTGAAGAGAGCTGGCACCACTGTTTCCATGGTTACTGTGGGTAATACACTAAGACGTCATAGTTTAAAATCACGCATGGCACGGAAGGTTCCCCTGCTTAAATCAGCACACGTCCAGGCCCGTCTTAAGTTTGACCATGACCATTTGGATGATCCAGAGGAGTCATGGGAGAAAGTTCTGTGGTCCGATGAGACCAAAATAGAACTTTTTGGTCTTAATTCCACTCGCCGTATTTGGAGGACGAAGAATGATGAGTACATTCCCAAAAACACCATCCCTACTGTGAAGCATGGGGGTGGAAGCATCATGCTTTGGGGGTGTTTTTCTGCACAAGAGACAGGATGACTGCACTGTATTAAGGAGAGGATGACCGGGGCCATGTAGTGAGAGATTTTGGGGAACAACCTCCTTCCCTCAGTTAGAACATTGAAGATGAGTCATGGCTGGGTCTTCCAACATGACAATGACCCAAAGCACACAGCCAGGAGAACCAAGGAGTGGCTCCATAAGAAGCATATCAAGGTTCTGGAGTGGCCTAGCCAGTCTCCAGACCTAAACCCTATAGAAAATATTTGGAGGGAGCTCAAACTCTGTTTCTCAGTGACAGCCCAGAAACCTGGCTGATCTAGAGAAGATGTGTGTGGAGGAATGGCCCAAAATCTCTGCTGCAGTGTGTGCAAACCTGCTGAAACACTACAGGAAACCTTTGACCTCTGTAACTGCAAACAAAGATACTGTACCAAATATTAACATTGATGTTCACAGGTGTTCAAATACTTATTTTCAGCAGTAACACACAAATAAATTATTTAAAAAATCATACATTGTGATTTCCGGATTTTTCTTTTAGATTATGTCTCTCACAGTGGACATGCACCTAAGATAAAAAATTCAGACCCCTCCATGATTTCTAAGTGGGGGAACTTGCAAAGTCGCAGGGTGTTCAAATACTTATTTTCCTCACTGTATCTACGATGTGCTAACCAGTAGAACCAAACAGTACATACAAAAAAAACTATGAAAAAACCTAAAGGTTTAACAAAAAGACAAAATGATGTACCTTCTTCTTCCTCATCCTCTTCCTCGTCCTCTTCCTCCTCCTCTTCATCAGAGCTGAAGGTCCCTTCAGGCAGGCTGTACACTCGAATTACTTGCTGTTTAAAGGAAATGGGAGTACATCAGCCCATCGGCTCCAACAGCTGAACCTGTGGTTCCTGCGGTGACTCACCTTGTTGGGGTCCTTCAGGATCAGGTACTTGCCCTCGTCCAGCTTGCGGCAGATATCGATCACACAGCGGAGGATTCCCCACGCGTTCTCCATGCTCAGATTTATCTGGCTGGCAAACTCGTTGGGTTTGAACTGCTGGGTTCCCAGGATGACGTGGCGAGAAGAGTCCTTCACGTGGTACCGAGACACGTACCTGAGGAACACACAACCCACAGTCTGCTCAGAATTGTTGCTCATTAATCACAAAAGTTCTGATCCATCCCTGGTACCTTTCAAACGGTAACTGTTGGGTGGTGGTACTTACCCCAGCTTGAGGTACTCGGATCCAGCCAACATGGCGCAGCAGGTCCAACGAGCCAGTTTGTAGCTGTTGTTCTTCAGCTCAGTGGCCAAAACAGCTCCTCTCTGAGAGTCCAGCTTCTGACGCCAGTCCACTCCGTTACAATACTAATGATGAAAGAGCACAAAACAAAAACACAGATTATATTTTAGAAACTCCATAATCAGGTTGACCGCTGTGAAAATAAATCAAAGTGGAGAAAGAGCATTTCCTGTGAAAATGCAGATTGAACACTTAATGACTGAGTTAATAAGCCCAAAAGTAGCAAAATGCTAGCTCAAAGCAGTAAAATGTTAGTTTAAAGCAGCAAAACTAGCTAAAAGTAGCAAAATGCTAGCTCAAAGTAGCAAAATGCTAGCTCAAAGCAGTAAAATGTTAGCTAAAAGCAGCAAAAGCTAGCTAAAAGTAGCAAAATGCTAGCTAAAAGCAGCAAAATGTTAGCTAAAAGCAGCAAAAACTAGCTAAAAGTAGCAAAATGCTAGCTTAAAGTAGCAAAATGCTAGCAAAAAGTAGCGTATACAGCCTAAACTAGAACAACTTTGCTGAAGCAGAATTTAAATTGAACAATGTTTTTAAAACAATTGAAAAGGGCTCAATATGTTTCTATGGGGAAAATATTTGCAAAATAAAGTTAAATATTTAAAATACTAAGAGTCCAAACAACATATAAAGCACAAACGAGAAAACATTGTGAATGCTAAATCAACATTCACGGCAAAGACAACTCGGATATCCGGTAAACACAATTTCAACTGCACCATCAAATCTAAAGTCTGGAAATCATTAAAATTTTAAAAGTAGATTTGACTGAATTCTGATTAAATAGAGTGGAACCACAGCAGAGGTGAAAACTGTTGAGGTGTGAAGACTTTTTTCCAAACACAGCTTGGAGAGGTCAAAGAACATCACTGACTACCTGATTAATAATCTTACAGTGTGAATAAGAGACAACTGTGATTCAAGCGGTGCAGCTCAAACCAATAACTCTAAGGAGTTTCTGTAGCTATTTTAGTGGAAGTTCAACAACGTGTATCCAAACTGACGATATGTAAACTGAAACAACATTTGACAACATTTCAAGTTCATTTTACAACCTTTTATCTTCAGGACGGTTGCTAATCATCTTTCTGGAGATCAAAACCACTCTTTGTCTTGTGCCCTCTTACCCTCGAGTCCCACTCGTTGAGGGTCTTGACGTTGATGAAGGACACTTCTCCGTTAGCTCCGGTCATCACTCCATCGTGCTCACAGCGGACGATCAGGTCGATGTCGTCTCCCAGCTTCCAGTGACGGTACCTGAACCCAAAGACAGTTTATCAGTTTTTATATTCAGTGACAACAGAACGCTGGTGAAGAAACAGAGCCAGAACACAGAGCCGACCTGTAAGCTACAGATGCCACCTCGCTCTTGTCCATGTCTTCTTCCACAAAAGGGTTGTGATTGGGGAACTTGTATCTCTCTCCACACTGAATACAATAATATACAAATACTAAATAAAGGAAACACTAATCAGAACGGAGTAGACATGGGATTGGATCTCACCATTCGTAAACACTGCTGGCTGAAGTTGTGGTTGATGTACGTTGCCTCCATCGCCAGGTTACGAGGAGAGTTGAAGGAGTTGCCCTCATCCTGCGGAGGCTCGTTGGCCGTCTCACTCACAGTTAGCAAATCTAACCGGAACAATTAGATTTAGTTCAATTGGTGAAAAAATACAGACTAATTTCTGATTTAAAAATGCAACATGTCTCAACATGCTCCTTTATCTGTTTACATTTGGGATAAAGCAACTCATGGGACCTCCTTATGCACTGATGTAACCCCACACAGGCGGCTGATATTTTACCTGGATGTCATGAGGTTTATATGTAAAGGCGACTATAATTTACTGCAGAGGATTACAGGGTGTTGCATACATGGATTATTTCTTTAATTTAATATTTGTTCTGATTGTAATTGACTCTGTTGTAGTCACAGCAAGATTTATGTTGTGCCAAACACAGAACTGTCTTGAGCAGCTTTATGTTGCCTTATAATTAGACAACGCACCATGAAGTTTTATTGTTAAAATCTTTTCGTTGCTTTAACGCAGAGGTACATAATTAAGCGTATTACAAGATAATTTAACATACATGCAACACAAATGGACGAGCTTTATCAGTGTCAACAATAATACAATTCAGATGTCTGAATGTACTGTAAATTTTACATGTCAGTGGTTCTGTTGTCACACTGATCTGACAGCCCTGTGCATTACCATGAGGGGGGACTGACAGTTCGGGGTGCATATAAAGCAGTCAGGCATGAAGGCACACTCAGAGCTGACCACTTGCAGCTAAACTGACTGCTGACAGGTCTGAACAGCCTGTTGGTGTCAAATGTGTTTGTAAAAGCAGTTTCTAATGCCTCACCAAAGTCAGAGCTGTCCCTCTTGTCAAAAAACAGCTTGTTGCCGACTCTCTGCACAATGATGTCCCAGGAGTTGACCGAGCGCGTGCAGCACATCAGCGTGGCAAGGATGGCATCAGTGGCAAACACGTTACCCTGCGTCTTCGCCAGCTGGAGAAAAAACAACAAAAAAAAATTTAACCTTTGGCCCCAACCCCTGAAACACTAAAGGAGCCCACTTTGTACAGGACTCTACCTTTCGGATGACAGGGTCATCAGTGGTGGTAACAGTATGGAAGATCCTCTTGATGCTTTTCAGCTGCTTTTCGTTGCGGGTGGTGATCCGATCAAAAGCTTTATCGTAGTACTCCAAAGCACCACAACACTCGCTGCAAGAACGAAGAAAGAATCTTTACTATTGTTCATATTTTCCTCTAATAACGCATTCAGCTTCACCTACATGTCAACAGGGTCAGCAACCTCCATATATCTCATCTTCATCAGCCTGGGGAAGTCCATCTCCTCCTTCACCTCCCAATCACTCCTAACCTCCACAGAGGAGTCTCTGGGCTTCAGCTGGGCCTGGAGGTGCATCAAGTCAATAAGAAAGAATTCTCAAACAAACTATTACCAGAATACAAAAGTTTGAAGGGAGTAAAATGGATGTGTGGGATGCAGCACCATCTAGTGGTCATAAATGGTACATAAACTTTGTAGTTCTCTGCCAGTGCTTAATCTGTTTTATGTAAACCAGAGAAAAAGCTGACTTTAATGTTTAAACTGCAGTGAAAGCTTCTGCTCCTATAAGTTTTTAATATTTACAAATAAATAAAAATATAAACATGTAACCTGTAGTGTTACCACAGTTTAAGCATTTAAAATATTTACATGTATTCAGCTGGGTTTACCCACCTTTGAAAAGTTTGAATTTAAATGAAGTTATCACGATTATTTTATTAAACTAACACTAAAAATACTTTATTAATAGCTTTAATTGATTTTTACTGTTCAGTCTTGTTTGATTTGCAAATTATAATATCACAGAATGCAGCTCTAATTTCTCAGGTGAGAAATACCTGAGACTTCTGGTCCCATTTCTGACGGACACCAAACTGCTTCTGGAACTTCTTCTGCAGACGCATGCGATCCCTGAAAAGACAAAATGCTTACTGGTGGATTAAATCCAAACCTTTACGGATTAAAAAGTGCAGATATTATTTCCAGCTGGGATTCTTTGTTAGACTCAGATTGAGAATCTCACCTCTCCTTCTGCTTGGCGCTCTTTGGAAGCGTCTGCAAGTTGAACTGAGTCAAGTTCCTACGGTCCTTGTCTCTCCTTAGGTTCCTCTGTGGAAACAAACCCCATCCTGTTATTGATGATAAAAGCTACGATACTCATGCCTAAATTAAACTCTTTGACAATCTGCTCTACCTGAGCAAACCTCATCCTGTTCCTCTGGTAGGCAGTTTTCTGGGTCTTGGCAGTGTCCACCAGCTGAAAGCTCGTCTCATCCTCCTCGTGAAAGTAGGCATACTGACTACCACCTCCAAACTGAGAGGAATACTTATCTGAAAACAAAAACAGGACAGAGATATAAATGCTGTGCAGTGCACCTTTTGAGTTACATTTATTTTGATAACATATTTTAGGTAAGGTAAATCCAAACAACCTGAGCCTAAATAAGTTCACCAAGGAGCTACATTTCAGACATCTGTCTCACTCACTTGTGTATCTCTTGTCTTGGTAAGTTGCTCCGGTCCAGTCAGCAACCTGATGGACCAAAAACACATGTTAGGGAGGAAAAAATAAAATAAAACTAGGTGATTTTATTGGCGAACTTAAGTGAGAACAAACCTTTCCCAGACGGTCTCCCTTGCTAAAAGGCTGGTAGGGCATATCTTTAAACTTCTCTGGAACTGCACACGGACCCCATCCAGACGGGTTGTCCTGGATTACAGGGGCGTGAAACTTTGCCATGACCTACAGTAAAAGTAGAAAAAGGAAGGAAACATTAATGTTCTTTTTTCCCCAAATAAGTTGAAGCATAGTGCAGCAGTTCTGGCTGTTTATCTTTTATACAAGGGTCTCAGGTTACAGCAGCACTGATCTCTTCAGCAACGCACTAAAACAATAATGCATTGCTCAGATTGCGCAGTGGGCTAATCATCATTGAACCCTACATTACATTATGGTACAATCGCAAACATTTAAGTGTTACTTTTAATTATTGATAGTCAATAAAACAATTAGCATAAGAGGTAGGTTGCATTATTTTAAGTGGTCAGTTTAAAGTGGGTTTGCCTTGTTAGTCAACAAAAACTGCAATTTAATAATAAATTGGGAAAAAGTATACAACTCATACAGATTGTTTAAATTGGTACTTCACAGTCCATGTTTTTTTTTTTTTCAGTTTGGAGTCTCAGAACTCGTCTTGATTTTATCTACTTCTTACTTTCACAGGATTTAAGACTAAAAGCATTTGAAAACTTGCGTCTACGTCAGTTTTCAGAAAAAACAATGTTCATTAATTTTTAATTTGACTGGGAAAACAAAACAGACAAGTTTTCATGTCTTTTTTTTAGTATTTTGTCTGACGGTGGCCTCGGCTGAGGCGGGTCATCCTGCCAGGTGGCCCGCTACAGAAGCTAAGCTAACTAGCCGGAAAGCTTCAAAATCCTTCAGAAGTTTCTCTAAAACGTCCCTCATAACACTAAGAAATGCGACCATTTTTCACACAACTGTACATACTTTGCTGTAAGCTTACTGTAAACGATGCAACCTTCAGCTGAATCTTTAAATCCAGACGGTTCTAACAACGATGCAAAACCGGACCAAGGGCCGGTGTGAGAGGAAGTGACGAAATGCGGAAAGCAGGAAGTTCCGTCTACGTATCGCTAACGAAACTGACGTAACGTTCCAAATTATTCACAATAATTATTATTTAGAATTATGTACCTTTAAAATAAAAGTAATTTGTTTACTTATCAATTATTTTATTCTTAAATATTCTGCAAAGCTTTTATTACAGTTTATGACCCCTCCCCCACCCACGCCAATTAACTTTTATTTTGAAAGAAATTACCGGAAACATTTTTATTTCAAAGAGAACAATCCTGACTTTAGTAATACTACTTTATGACCACTAGATGGCAGTATAAAACATTTTATTTCTTTAAACGACTTTTATGTGTTGATACAACAGCAGGTGTTTTTGATTAAAGCAATTAGCAGGTATTGTAACTTTTTTAATTATTATTATTACAGATTGATACCCACGGCAACATTAGTAACTATTACATATAAAAATATTGCTTTATTGTTTTGATAAGTCAAAATTATAGTGTAAAAGATTACGTGGTCGAAAATACCAATAATGACGTTTTCTACCAAATTTAATTTAATGGCACATACATTTCCGATTTCCACTTTCAAGACAGAACATAAAAAAAATAAAAATAATAATAACATTGTGTACTTTGTAAAAGTGGTCCGGTTATACAGGTTTTGGTTGTGAAATAACGTTCATTGCAGCGTTATAAAAAAGATTCACATAAACAAAGCTGATTTTTTTGGGACATTTTATTTCCTGTTATTATTTCAAACATCAGGGTTATAAAATTTAAGACTTGAAAGAGATAAGTTCTTTAATGTGTAGACCAACTGGATATTTTTGTTTTAAGTTGTCTTTTAACTTTTCCATGCCAATTCATTGTTAGGTGATGCTGCTTGAGATTAAACAATATTCCTGTTTTTTAACAGTAGTTCAGTTGTGATGAATTCAAATGCTGTATATTTTAATGAATAACATTCAAACTTTGATAAATAATTATTTCTCTAAGGTTAACCACACACAGGTCAAAGCAACAGCACTGGAACAACAAAGGTTTTCAGATACCTCACTTTGAGCTGCTGATAGTTAATTTTACCTTACTTAGCATTTCTAGGAAACTAACTTTATTTTAGAGATGTAGTTATGGTATAAAAATAGTAGTTAAACTGTGTTAGGTTGTTTTCTTTGCGTTTTTAGTTCTTTGGTGTCATCAATTGTACACTTTAAGTACATCTGATTTTAATTTGTGGTTATCTCCTTTTCTAGACATTTCTTGTCTCATAATACAATATAGATATTAATGCCCTTCCACTAGTTATTGAAGCAAATATTGCTGAACGACTTCTTTTCATTCTTGTTATAATCTATCTTCTTACAGGCAGATTTGAGATATTAGTATAATAGTACATAAAAAAAAATTGTAGTAAAACTAAACAAAAAAAATCTTCAGCTCATTTTCCACAGCGGTTATAAAACACACACACAAGTTTCATCTCTGTCTGGAAATGAATGATTGTTCAACAAATATGAAAAGCACCACTTTTTTCACACACAGCTCTGTTGAAAGAGCTTTAGAAATCTAAATCAGAGTTGCTTTTCTAAGCGAAGCCAATTATGATGTTCCTCACGCAGCCCAAAGGTCAGGAAGCCTGATTCAAATAAAGAAAAACACGTGTCTGTGTGAGATGCAGTTGAAAGGTTTTAAAGTGAGTTCTCCAGAGGCCACGCTCCTCCTGCTCAGGACTCACTCTGATGAAATCATGATGCTGCTGACATCTTTGAACAGCTGACTTCCCCCCTGTGCTCATGTATTCATGTTTCACTAAAATGAAAAGTCAGAATATGAAAAATAGTTAGCATCCTGGTTAAAATGGACCATTTTCTTGCTCTCCGTGTTGCATCAGCTCCCGGCTGCTGAGCTGTGAGTCATGACAAACACGTCCTCTGACGTCCTTTGGGGGTCTCTGCAGTCGCTCTGACAGCAGATGGTCAGCTCAGTGTGTGATCAGAAATCTTTAGCGTGTATCTGAACATGGACGTGACTGTGAGAGACCGTCTCTGCAGACTAAAGAGTTTTTAACGCTCTTTTAGTCCAACTCAAATGCAAAACAGATGGAAAGTGTGAAAATAGCTGAAGTTTGAAGCCGAGTTAAATTTTGCAATCACAGCAATTCAGTCCAGGCTGTAGGATTTGAAAACCAAACTGATTCATAGATGTTTTATACAGAGAATAACGGTCTGCAAAAGACGAATTTCACTTGGTTTAACTGTTGTCTTATTGATTTATCTGATAATGTGGCTTATTTTTTCCTTTGGATGCATGGATGGATGAAATTTATTGATCTCAAGGCTGAGAAATTCCGGTGTTAAAGCAGTCTGTGAACAGATAGAAAACACAAAAACACCAAACAAAATTGAATAAAATATAATTTTTGGTTGAATTTTAAATGGATCTGTAAACCTCCTGCACACCTCTAAGATCCATCTATCCTCCACATATTTTTTTCATAAAACAAAAGCAGCTTTATGGCTAAAAACTTATTTGTTTTCATGTTGAAGGTTTTAAAAACAGACATTTTTAAAATTTGATTGAAAACTCGAATGGAGACTCGGCAGCTCCACATCCAGAATGCACAACATCAAGACTTCTGCTTGTTTTAAATGATACAATCTTAAATCCTCTCACTGTACTGGATCAGATTTTGTTTGAAGATCGTTTTAATTGCAAACCTAGAAATTATATTAGATTTGTTAATTGTATCTCCTGGACATCCACAGCAGAAAAGGCCAATAATATTTATTCTTGTGTCTGGGTGTGTCCATAGTTGTTTGTCTGTTAGCAAAATATTTGATGAATTACATGACAAACCTTAATGAAACTAATAAAAATAATTGTTGGGTGTACATCTACACCTGATTAAGGTTTGGGGTCAACCCTATCTTATTGAGATTATTGAACATAAAGATATCTATAAAAAGACAAAATGAAAAGAAAAATCCCCACGTTGGGCATCAAAATATAGTGATACAAGTCTACATTTTAATTTTAAACTGTTTAAATAAAACAGATCTTGAAACATGTGATGACAGCAAAAAAAATCAGGGTTTATTGAAGAACAAACTTGCAGGCTGAACAGCTGGACACCCGAAGACTTAAAGAAAAAGACCTCTCTCAATATAGCCTTGTTCACTTTTATACTCTCTTGCTTATATAAAGGTCATTACACTATACCAACACACACACACACACACATTAGTAGATTATTTTTTTTTTACAAAGATCTGTTCTCCGGCCATACCCCCAGACTTCCATATAAGAAGTTGTTATTGACTTATCAGTAGTTTCCACTTGAAAATATTTTTCTGGTCGAGTGCCCAGATATTTGATGCATCAAGATATAGAACAACAAATTCCTATCAGGTCAGCTTGACCGGAACAAGCTCCATACATGGAAACACATCTGCACACTGTCAGGGCCTTTTGAAAAACAAGTTCTCTACTTCAATCATTTACTGTAACTTCATAGTTAAGAGTCTAAATTTAGTTGAGGGAGTATCTGAGAGTCATTTATATAATTTGTAATTTTGTGAAATAAAATTGCACATTACATAATCACAAGTCAATCTCAGTTTATTTGCCATGAAAGGCGGCGGGTGATATGCATTATTCAAACATTTTTAGAGCTTTAATTTAAAAATGTTTCTGGAGATTTCATGAGGAACTCACAGATTTTCCTCTCCTTTTGTTTTGTAAAATTTTTTTTTGTTGATTCTTGTCTCAGCTCGTTTCCATATGTGAGTTAATTGAACACTTATTTATCTGCGTCTCCTCAGGTTCATTTTGCACATCTGTCCTCAACACAACTCCAGACGGAATGATCCATTCAGTAATCCCCCTCTGAGATGAAAATAATTACAGAAAACATTAGCAGTTTCATAAACTAGCCCACTTCTTTATTTCAATGAGAGTTTAAGAATATAAGCATTGACAGCGTTTAGGATATGAACACAGAAACTGCAGCAGCACATCAAAACAGGACACGTGTAATCTTTAGTAGAAGGCATCCTGTTGAAGTGTTTTGCAATTTTGCCCTGATGGTTTGAATTATTCTCTGCAGTCTGCAGAGAGACGAAGGAAAACATGATGTTATTGCAGCTCCACTTCGATGTGATTGTTTCCTACTGTGGCATCTATTCCTGCACTGAAGTCAACACTTCAGCTAAAGTGAGAGTTTATTTCTGCAAACAAAAAGCAACAACGGCTGCCACTCTGCTTGCATTAGTAGTAAGATGATTTAATAAAGCCATCGTGCATTGACACAAGAATTATGGATTATTGTACTATTATTGTAAATGCAGAGCTATTACAAGTCATTCATTTTTGAAAAATTGGGACGTTGAGTAAAACTTAAAAAAATAAAAAGCGATGCTTCCAAATAGCATGAACTCATTTAATTCATAATGGAAAACATGTCAAACATTGAAACTAGAAACTGTGCCTTTTAAAAAATAATTTAGTAATTTAATATAATTTTTGAAAATCCTTTTTCTTTTGACAACAGCGCATAAAACTACCGTGGAGACCAGATGTTGACATTGTTGGAGGGAATGTTGTCCCATTCATCTGATGTAAGATTTTAGCTGTTCTACAGTCACTGCTCTTTGGTGGATGGGAGCAGACGTTCTAAAACCTTTTTATGATTTGCTGCATTCAAAGGACATTTCAAGATGTTTAAGCTGTCCATGCCACAGACATCAATGCACCCCTATACCATCTGAGAAGCAGGCTTTCAACCTGTGAGCAGACAACAGGCTGGATGGTTTTCTTGGTGTCTTCATTACCAAAAATAACTTTAATTGAGATCCGTCTGACCTCAGAACAGTTCTGGACTTCACCTCAGTCCATTTTAAACGAGCTCTGGTCCAGAGAAGACAGCAGTGATTCTGGATGGTGTTCACATCTGGCCTCTTCTTTGCTTGATAGAGCTTTAAGCAGCCTCTGTGGATCAATCAATCAGTCAACCTTTATTTAGACAGGTAAATCCCATTGAGCCTCAAGGACTCATTTACAAGAGAGACCTTATTTCAACAAAGAATTATGACAACAATGGACAACAGCAACAACAATAAACAAATATAAAAAGTCATAATGCAGGTTTTTTTTTTTTTTTGAAAAACTGGATGAACTGTCTTTACAGACAATGATCTGTGGAAGAGTTCCTGAACCCAAAACAGAACCAGACCTGGTTTTAATGAAGTGGCCCCTGAGGGCCCCAAGATCACGACCAACCAATACTGACTTTCAGCCTCGTCATTTGAGCTCAGAGATTTCTACAGATTCTTCTAATCTGTTGATGAGATTATGAGCTGGAGATGATGGAGATTCAAAGTCTTCACAATTTTCGGTTGAGGAACTTTATTCTGAAATTATTTCACTATTTTTAGACACAGTTCCTAACAGACGGGTGAACCTCTGCCCAGCTTTACTTCTGAGAGATTCAGCCTCTCTAAAAGCCTTTTGGAGAAAATATCTCTTACTGACCTGTTGACAAATAAATAATAATAATAATAATAATAATAATAATAATAATAATAATAATAATAATAATAATAATAATAATAATAATAATATTTTGGGTTTATGAGATTTGGTAATCATTGAATTCTGCTCATATTTACCTTCTAACATTCGCCTTAGAATCTAGCTGTTTTTTTTGTTACCTTTTCCTTTTAGCCATCCTGTTTGTAAAAAAAAACAAACAAACAAAAAAAAAAAACCTGTATTATGACTTTTTATAATTGTTTATTGTTGTTGCTGTTGTCCATTGTTGTCATCTTTCTTTGTTGAAATCAGGTCTCTCTTGTAAATGAGTCCTCGAGGCTCAATGGGATTTACCCGTCTAAATAAAGGTTGAATGATTGATTGGGCAGCACGGTGGCGCAACTGGTAGAGCTGCTGCCTCTCAGCGAGCAGGTCCTTGGTTCAAACCCCGGTCCAGGGGCCTTTCTGGATGGAGTTTGCATGTTCTCTCCGTGCATGCGTGGGTTTTCTCCGGGTACTCCGGTTTCCTCCCACAGACCAAAAACATGCATGTTAGACTGATTGGTAACTCTAAATTGTCCCTAGGTGTGAGTGAGAGAGTGAATGGTTGTTTGTCTCGTTTGTCTCTATGTGTCCCTGTGATGGACTTGCGACCCGTCCAGGGTGTACCCCGCCCCTCGCACAGTGATTGCTGGACATGGGCACCAGCGACTCCCGTGACCCAAAATGGAATAAGCGGGTAAAGAAAATGGATGGATGGATGGATGGATGATTGATTGATTCACACAACATTCAAACAGACTGAAATTTGTCAAATGTGAACAACAGAATCAGCAGGTTTGACTGACCTGTTTGTTTGGACCATATGTCTTCGTCTGAACTGATAACATCATTTGCTCAGAGTTTACAAAGAATTTTCTGCCAACAAAACCTTGAATAATAGGTCATTAGAGTTAACATGACTCTTGTTCCATGTTGTTCGTGGGTGGACGCCTGTAGGCAGACGGTCACTGAGTCATAGCAAAGTCACCAGCAGATCCTTCTGCTGGTCATCACTTCTCCCTGCGCAGTAAGCACAGGTGGGGGGCTGATGATCACGCAACCGCCTCATAACTACAGTATTTATAGATGAACGCATGCACGGCACACACAGTAGTAAACAGCCCACTCAGACACACACAGCACTACTCAACCTGAACAAATCTCAGTTTCTCATCAAACCATGAGCCCAGGGGGGCTTTGCAAATAAAGTACGAGGCAGGCAAATCCCTTTTTAATGTGCCTTTAATGATGGTTTGGGGCTCTGCAGAGGATGGTTGCAGCTGGGTGTGTGTGGGCTGATGACCAGCTGAGCAGCAGCAACACTGAAGCTTTGTTCCTCTATATTTACAGCTGGTTAAAAGAAAAAAAACAACAAGTTTGTGTTGTTCGAACTCATGAATGAAAGGTTCTGATGAATGACTAGAGCTTAATGTCAAACTCATTTTCAAATATTGCACCAGTCAGCAGCAGCGACGCTTAACTCAGTGGCAAAGATAATTCAACACAAAACCGATTTTTTACTTCATTAAGTAAATGTCAGACAACATTTAAAACATCTTCTCTACCAGCTTTCACGCAGAGCCGCCAATGTTTAGTTCAGCTAAATATCCAAAGGTAGGAGTTTAAATGAAGAAAGAAAAAGAGAAAGTTTGAGTTTAAGCTGCGTATTGTGCAAATAAAAACAACAATAAAAAGGTCTTAGAGTCACACGTCTGACGTGGGTGGTATCGTTTCAACACCTACACCTGTGATGAACACCTGTTAGAGAGGCTCAGTGCACCATTGAGGACTTTACAGTCTATAAACTCATATATTGAACTGGATTCTATAAAATAAAGCTGTCATTGTATCCATTCATACAGTTTTTTTTATCCACTTTTATTAAGGTTAGGTCCCAGACAAAACCAGTCAATAAAATAAATATACTTTTTATCTCCTCTTGAGACCTTTCCACACCAGATATAATCTTTCCATCAGGTACAGAGTCCTCTCTTTTAGAAGGATGTGCCTCCAAGGGAGAGGTTTTCCAGGAAGCATCTTGATTAGATATATGAAACACTCCAACTGGATGATTTTGGTGGAGCGAATCAGAGACCCTTAGCTTCTTACCTTATCTCTAAGACTGAGCTCTGCCACTCTGCTGAGGAAGCTGGTTTCAGATGCTTGCATCTTTGTTCATTTGGTCACAGGTGAGTGTTGGAACAGAGATAGACAAGTTAATCTAGAGTTCTTCCTTTAAACTCAACTCCTTCACTATAACAGACTGGAGCAAAGCCCTCATTACTGCAGATAAGGCTGAGATCTGTTGAGCCATATCTCCCTGTATCCACGCAGTCTCATGAACACCACAATCCGTAGACTCTTTTGCTTGAGGCAAAGACTAATCCCATACCTCATGGGAACACTGCAAGCAGAGGGTCGTGGTTTGAAGACGCCAACAGAACCACAACGTCGTCCTTTTACCGACTGCTCCTTGAGATCCTATCTACGAACACCACGAACAGAATCAGAGGCCTGCAGCGGCAACCCCGGTGGAGTCAACGTTTTTATTCCACAAACCGAGATCATGCCCCACATTTAACCCCATTTAGTTGCCAAAGTGAACTCTACCGGACATGTTTTTATCTTCTTCTTAGATTTGACTCATAATAAATGTTTCATAGGAAAGGGAACTTTTCATTATGTGTATGTCAGACTCTGCACAGATGGGTCAAGTTCAGGTTACTCTTGTCATCTTACTGTAAAGCTCTGGCCAGAGAGAACAGTCATATGATCATAACTAACTGTGCAGATTTAAATATAAACATCAAAGAACAGGAAACGATGATGTAATGCAGCAACAAATGTGCTACAGTCAGCGATGTGCAGCAGAATGTGTTACCATAAACAGTTGTGATTATGATCATAAAAGAAAAAAAAGTCATTTGAGGGAGGAAAAATAAATCAGGCTGTAGGTGAATGTTGAAAAAGTTAGCTGAGATTTGTTCACAAAGATTAGACTTTAGCTTTGACCGAAGCAGCCCAGTGAGCACTGCAAAGACTTCTCAACATCTAAACTGTTTGCATACTGCGACGCTAAATTTGAGCTAATTTTGGCCTGAAAGAAAAAGTTTGTAGACATCTTAACCTGACAAAAATAAATAAATTAATTATAAAACAGCACTTAGCCAAGATTGACGAGAATAAATACGAATGCAAGAAGCACAACCCGAGATTTCCATATTTCAAACTCCACTCACATGAGGACTGAAACGACACTCAACGTTGAAATGCCAGCTGTCGCTCACGGGGAGACAACGGTCACATTGTGGGATATAAAGAAACACCAACATGTGATCAGACTAAAGGTAGACATCATTACCTGTACATATTATACATACATGTTAGAAATACTCCAACATTTCAGTACATGGATCAAATAAAACAATCAGGCTCATTTGAGTATTTTCTAAAATGTTTTTGTTTCATTTGTCTTAAAGTCAGGATGACAATAATTTCACTTCAGTAACATAAAACTAAACTCCATATTTTACATTATAAATAACTTATTTCCAGTGAGGTACTCTGATCTACATTGTCCTCTGGCAGGGTTTTATTGCTCCCGTTTTTTGCTCCATTGAGGAGCAGTGGGACCGTCAACGAGGACCCGTTCGCAGGATCTTTTCCTTTGGAGTCGCCACCGTTCCGATCTGGCGACTCCAGATCTGTGGCTGCAGCTCCTCTCTCTGAGAACATCAGCTGCGAGCTCTGCGGCTGGACGCTGGAGTTTCCGTTCTGGGTGATCCTGTAGATTTCAGTCATTTCTGAGACGACCTCGTCGTCGTCGTCGTTGTCATTGTCATCCCTGACGGCTCGTCTCAGGCTTTCCCTGGGCATCAGTGCCCTCCTGCCCTCCTCCCGCTGCAGTTGGCGTTCCGCAGGCTCGTGGTTCTCCACTTTCCTCGTGGAGCGGCAGAGAGCTTTACGGAAACCCCTCTTGAAGTTGTCTGACAAAAAGCCGTAGACGATGGGATTGGCGCAGCTGTTGGCATACCCAAGCACCACCACAAAGTAGTAAAGACCCTGGTACTCTGAGGGCAGGCTGACCAACAGGTTGATGATGTTGAGGGCGTAAAAAGGCAGCCAGCAGAAGACAAAGACCGCAACTACAATCACGACCATTCGTGTCACTTTTCGCTCCGACTTTCTTCTCTTGGTGGAGGTGGCATGGACCTTTATACCCGAGCTGCGGATCTTGAAGACGATGAGCAGGTAGCAGAGGCAGATGATGAGAAGAGGGCAGAAGAATCCGACCGTGGAAGTGTAAATTATGAAAGCAGCCCTCCAGATGTTTGCCGGCTGAGGCCAGGCTATGTTACAGGTGCCCCCTGTCTTCTGGATATTTGCAAAGACCACCACGGGTAGGACGACCAGGAAGGACAGTGCCCACACTGTGACGTTCACCACTTTGGCCACCTGAGGGCGCCTCCACTTGGAGGAGCGAATGGGATGGACGACAGCGAGGTAGCGGTCAATGCTCATCACGGTCAGGCAGAAGATGCTGGTGAATTGGTTGATGGAGTCGACGGTCATGACGAGTCTGCACATGAAGGAGCCAAAGGGCCACAGCTGGAGGGTGTTCTGAACAGCCAGGAAGGGCAGGCCAAACATGAAGAGCTCATCAGCAATGGCTAAGTTCAGGATGTAGATGTTGGTCACCGACTCGATCTTTGAGTAGTGCAGCACGATGTGGATCACCAGAGTGTTTCCACCGAGGCCGAGGATGCAAACCACCATGTATATGAGAGGGATGAGGACTCCAGCCACGCTGGGACCGGAGGGAACATCCAGGAAGGTGGCGTTGGTAGCGTTGAACAGCGTATCATTCAGGTCGCTGTCATTGAGCATGAGCAGATGGGGGGAGGGGCTCACCAGGCTGCTATTTTCCCACGCTTCAGCCGACATCTCACCAGGAAGTGAGGCGTCACCTCTTCCTGTTGATTTGTCCCTCTGCTGTTTCAGCTGCCTCCCTTCTGTTCTGTTGGAGGAATAAAAAAATCAGTCATCGAAATAATTCATATTTTCCTCTTTTTATTTCTAATGGGGCCACATTGAAAAGGCAAGAAAGTCTGATTTTGTTTTTTCTAGAGACCGCTTCGTAAAAATTTGAGCTTTTAAAAGTTTGTATTGTTCAAGAATAAACAAACAGCTGCACATTTCAGCTTCTCAATTTAAATTATATTTACAATCCTGAGCAGTTTTAGCTTAACTGGTTTAATTTCTACAAATATTTTGATCATATTTAAAAAAAAAAGGCACGATTGAGCAAACTCTTTTAAAACATTTTAAAATAATTTCATCAACATTTATACTTTTTATGGTATTTTTCTTGTAAATTTAAATGGTAAAATCAAAGATTTTATGTTTTTAGGACCCACAAAATGATGAATATTTTAAAAATAATACAATAAAATTCATTTAGAAATAAAATTTAACAATAAAGCTGAAAAAGATGTTTGAATTTTAACTTTTGCTGTGTTACAGAATAAAATTATTCAAGCATGATAATAAATAAACAAAAAAAAATGCATTCTTTCTAAAATGTTTATTTTCTAAGTGTTTCCTTGTGTAGTGAAAGAAGTTAAGTTTGAAGGTTTTTAAAAAAAAACTTTTACTGCAGATGAATTATGTTTTTCAGGAAATAAACTTATTTGTTTTTATATTTTATTTTTAATTTAACATATTGAACAAATGTGTAGGCAATCAGCACCTCACATTACTTACCGATTTATTTTAGACAAATAAAAATTAAATTAGGATAATAAACAAAATATCCAAATGTAAAAAATGTTAATTTGTTTTCCAAGAACAAAAACCAGGTAAAGAAATGAAAGCAAATGTGATGAATAATTAATGCTGATGAAACAAATAGGAAGCAATTAAAACATGTCTGGATGGATGTTACTTGGGTAATGAATTTGACCTCAGCAGAGATGAAAAGAGGATTTTAGATGAGAGTGATAATTGACTTTTTATTAGCAGCAGCTTCCTGATTAACAGGATCTGCAGAGAAAATCTGCAGGAAGAGACTGGTGGTGCTGTAAACAGATACTGACTAATTACTGGAGAAAAAAAAAGCACAGAAACAACTTTTACTCAGAAAAAAAGGCTGAAAAAAAAACGAGTCAGTCAGTTTGACATCAACCTGATTGATGCGTCTGCCCCTCTGGTTGAAACTGAATGGAAGTAAATTAATAAATAACACCTGGAAGACTGGTGACATTTTCAGAGTTTACCAGGCGTCTCCCCTGCTGACAGATGGAAATAGAAACCAGCGCCTCGACAGCCTGAACAGGAGTAAAACGACAATACTGAAAATAAAATACCCCTAGAGTCCTAAAATATTTCAGAAAGACATTTATAATTCTTCTTCTTCTTCTTTTGGCTTTTCCCTCTCCAGGGGTCTCCACAGCAAGTCCTCCTCCTCCATCTCACTCTGTCCTCTGCATCCTCTGTCCTCACTCCAACTACCTCCATGTGCTCTCTAACTGCATCCATATATCTCCTCTTTGTCTTTTTCCTGGCAGGTGCATTTCTAACATCCTTCTACCAATATACTGTCCCTCCTCTGGACATGTCCAAACCACTGTCCCTCCTCTGGACATGTCCTAACCACTGTCCCTCCTCTGGACATGTCCAAACCATCTCAGTCTGTCCTCTCTAACTTTATCTCCCAGTTGTTCAACCTGTGCTGTACCTCTGATGATCTCATTCCTAATCTTCTCCATCCTTGTCTCTCCTAAGGAGAACCTCAACATCATAATTTCTGACACTTCCAGTTCTGTCTCCTGTCTTTTTGTCCATGTCTCTGTCTCCAGACCATACAACATAGCTGGTCTCACAACTGTCTTGTAAACTTTTCCTTTGACCTTTGCTGACACCCTTTTGTTGCAAATCACTCCTGAAACTTTTCTCCATCCACTCCAGCCTGCCTGGACTCTCTTCTTCAACTCTTTACCACACTCCCCATTTTCCTGGACAGTGGACCTTGAAGTCCTGCACCTTTGTGACCTCTGCTTCTTGTAGCCTCACTGTTCCACCTCCTCCCTCTCATTCACACACATGCACTCTGTCTTACTACGACTGACTTTCATTTCTCTTCTTTCAAGTGCATACCTCCACCTCTCCAAGTTCTCTTCCACCTGTTCCCTGTTCTCACCACAGATCACAATGTCATCTGCAAACATCATAGTTCACGGGGATTCCTGCCTGACCTCATCTGTTAGTCCGTTCATCACCAAAGCAAACAAGAAGGGGCTCAGAGCTGATCCTTGATGCACTCCCACCGCCACCTTGAAGCTATCTGTCACTCCTACAGCACATCTCACCACTGTCCTGCTGTCCTCATACATGCCCTGTAACATACTTCTCTTCCTCTCCAGATTTCCTCATGCAATACCGCACCTCTTCCCTCGGCACCCTGTCATATGTTTTTTCTAAATCCACAAAGACACAATGGAGTTCTTTCTGACCCTCTCTACTTCTCCATAAGCTTCCTCAAAGCAAAGATGGCATCTGTGGTGCTCTCTCAGCATGAAACCACACTGCTGCTCACAGTCACCTCTCGTCTAACCACTGACAACATCTACCATCAGACCTTCTACTTTACCTTCAGACACATCCCCCTATCTGACACTCTTCACCTCCAACTCCTCCTTCAGGACCACCCCTACTCCAGAAGTAGTCTAATTTTTGTATTCCACTGTACCAAACTCTCATAATTTATGTTTTGATTTATTTAACTCCAGTCCTCTAAGCTAAAGAGCTCCCGGATATAAAGAAAGGAGCTCCACAAATCAAAACAGAAAATATGTCGGACTAACAGAGGGACCAATTACTCCAGAAGGGATTCAAAATGAGACCATCCATACTGGAATATAAAAGATTATATACAACTTTATAGATTGTCTCTTTACAAATTATCAGGTCATATTTTATTAATTTAAAAAGCAAACGGACGTTATGGTTATAAATGGAGCAATTGGCTGTTTTTATTTGAAGACATATGAAGTAGTTTGTGTTCATTCTTTTTTTTTGTTTTTTAACAAATCAATAAAACTCAGAGGTGCTCTAATTAAACTGTGGCATAAATACTCCATCAGTCTGTGTAAGATGACCGTCTGTAATGAAATGCACATCTGAAGGTTTTTACTTTCAGTTCCCTTATTCATGCCTGTGTAAATGAAAACAAATATGTAAAAATCAGTCATATGTCAGAGTCTGGCATCATATTTTGGATATTTATACACACAATCTCAAAAGGCTGGAGCATAAAATAGAGCGTTTAAATCTTTTTTTGTTTGTCTTCTGACCAGTCAAGCTTTTTCAGCTTCTTGCTGCAAACATCATCAACAGTTAACGTGTTCCCTCAGCAACCGACGGCTGGTGGGAGCTTTGATGCACAGACATGAGGGTTTTACCAATAAGTCTTTCAAAGAATCAGAAAAAGATCCTTTCTTTAAAAGGTGTATTGCCAGGATTATAAACCTAAAACGATGAAGAGGAGATTAAATAAAACAATAAAGTAGAAATGAAACCCTATAGACACTTCTCTTTCAATTTCACTCCCCATTAACCATCGCTCAGCCTCCAAACAGACGGGCTGGAGCGTTTTTACGGAGAAATTCACGTCAGAAACGTTTTGGTTCTTTTGTTCTTTATGGAAAATCAACAGTGAGAACTGCAGATGTGCTCAGTTCAGACAAACCAACAGAATCTCTATCATCACATTCATGATGACGTCTGCAGCGACAATAAAAATCGTTTGTCTTTTACAAAAAACAAAACAAAAAAAAAACACAAGAGGAGTCAACGAAAACAGCAAATAGGCTGAATGTCTTCTGTTTTCCAGACTTTGTCTGATTTTAGCAAACACATTAATCTTTTTGCAATACCTTCAATTTCCGGTGATTACTGGCATTTCACATTAAATTTGTCAAATTTGGGTGCTATGGAAACCGGAGGAGAGAACTGGGGCATCAGAATCGTAAATCAACCAAACCAAATTAAATTTAGATGGATTTTTTTATATTTTCTCCTGGGAAAGTGGTTCAAAGAGAAGAGTAGAGAACATTGATACAAACTAAACGTAAAACTCTGTTTTCTGCTGCTGATACTCAGGATTAAAAAGACGAGCCACAGGAATTTACAAAAACAACTCGGATTACGTTTGTTCCTCTCGAGACCAAATCATCTGGTCAATTCAGATGTTTGTGGCTCCAGGTTTTTCTTGTGTGAACACTGTTTTCTGATGCATGCTCAATAATCCAGGTACAAAAATCTAAAAAAAAAACAGTTAAATCTGGTCCTCTGGACATTCAAAAAACAAAACAAAGCAAAAGAACAACAAAAAATGTTGATTGTTTTCCTTTTTACACTTTCTTCTGGATGCTGTTTGCAATCAAATTATTTCTATAAACTTTGTGCGGTGCCGCCTGAACAGTTTGGTACTTTTAGCATTTGTAACTTTAGTACTTTTTAATTTATTTAATTTTAATTCTGAAACTTCCCTCATAGAAATACATCAAGATTAACATTAAGATTACATTAAGATTATGGGAATAACCTGTCTAAATAAAAGGTTGAATGAATGAAAAAGATGTTCAGCAAACTTTTAAATTTTTGTCTTCTTATACAATTTTTTTTAGCTTTTAGCTACAAAGACTTAAAAATAAACCATCTTGTTAATTTTAGTATTCAGCTTCATTTTTTTATATGTACATTTTAACTACAGTTTTGTTAAATTTAGCTCATTAGAGCTTTAAGCTGTGTATTTGCTTACTTTAAGCTAATGTTTGACAAATGTGAGTTTCATCTCTTGTTAGGTTAGTTTTAGTTTTTTTTAAAAACTATTAAAAAAATTATATTTATGGTTTTGATATTTTTAGCTTTAAGTTATGATTTTACTATATTTTCTATTTATAGAGGTTTGCTATTGTTAGCTTTTAGCTCTAATTTTGCTAATGTTAACTTGTTTTGTTCTGTTTATCTTTTAGCTGTTTTGTTAAGTGTTGCTTCTACAGTTTTGCTAATTTTAAGCTTTTAGCTACTTTTAGCCATTGTTTTGCTAAATTGTTCTTACAATTTAGTTACTTTGATCTTCTAGCTGTGTTTTTGCTTATTGAAGCTTTTAGCTATGATTCTGATAGTTTTAGTATTTAACTCCTATTTTGGTGGTTTTAGCTTTATATCTACAGCTTTGCTATTTTCTAGTTTATATTTATGGTTTGGCTGTTTTAAGCGAAGCTATGATTTTTCTAAATTACATTTTTTAAACAGGTTTTGTTGTTAGCTTTTAGCTGTCATAAAGCTAATTTTTGCTTTCCTTTGCCGTTTTGTTACATTTAACTTTTAGCTGTTTTGTTATTCCTTCAAGCTATGATCTTGCTCATTATAACTTTTATCTACTTTCCTGCTACTTCTAGATTTTAGCCTTTTTACTAATGATATATTGTAGCTACCATTTTATAAATTTTTACCTTCAGCTATTATTTAAAAAACTGAGGTTTTAGCTATTGTTTTGCTCATCCTAGCTGTTAGCCACTGTTTTTCTTATCCAAGCTTTTGTTAACGGTTTCTCATTTTACCTTCTGTTCTGCATGTTTTTCCTTTAGTACTTTATTCTTTGACACATTTTAGCTGTCATTTATTACCCATCCTTTTACCATAAAATTAAACTCTTTTTCCGGTGTCAGGTGCCACGTTTAAATGTGTGACTCGTCTGTAAAAATGGTTCGTTTGGAGGCGACCCTCTGGTTTTAGAGGCTTAAATGTTGATTCTGTTTTATTCCTTACAGCTTCTCTGAACTAACATTAGTTTCTAAATGAATCAATATTGACTGGGCATAAAATGAAGGCGTGCTTTCTTTCACCTTTCTTGTCATCCTGCCCCCAGGTGATTCACTCAAATGATCTGAATGCGTCTCTTCAGACCCTTTTTCTGTCAAGTTTTCCACATCATGTCTGCTCACAAGATCTTCATCGACCAATGAAGATAAAGAGTTTTAATAAAGCTGAACTGGTTTAACGTTGCACCGAGGGATTTAAATGCTACCGTATTTTCCAGACTATAAAGAGCACTTAAAATCCATTAATTTTCTCAAAAAAATAAAAATAAAAATAAAAATTGACGGAGCCTTATAGTCCGAAAAATACGGTAATTCATCTTTTTGAGCACTGAGTGAACCAGGTCGTTGTGAGGTTGTAATTCGAACGTTTTCTTCTTACGTGCTGTAACTTTCTTTGTTTTAAGGAGTTTTAGTTTGTCAGATTGACGTCTGTTTTCAGTCTGTTACAGGCTGGATGAATGCATGAAGAATTGTTCCTCAACAACATCCAACACCAGAAAGTTTCTATTTTTACCTCCATTATTTATCCATTTCCCTCATAGTAAACTGAAAATAGCCATTATCACTGAATGTTTTCCTTAAATTATATGCTGCTTTGCTTTCCAGACATTCAGCTCAGAAAAAATTTAAGACATTTCATCCTAAATTTGTGACAAAAACAGATGTGCAGGTGAACTGAATGCATCAAATCTCAAATACTAATAATTTATTCACAATGAAGCAAACAATTCTAATGCTTAAATTGAGAAACCGCACCATATTTTGAGTTTTCTGGCAGCAACACAAAAGTCTGTAAACAAAAAGCTCCTAATCCTTGGACTTTGGAAGCGTGTGAATGGCTTTTTTCACGTCTTCCGAAACTAAAAATATTATTTTCAAGAATTCACTGGCAACAGAAAATCTTAAAATAGACCTTTCAAACTCCACCATGGAACAAGAACATCTGTTCACTTTTCTTTGCCGCTTTGACGTCTTATAAAAGTTAATGTCACATCTCGCTACTGTAGCAAATCGAAGTGGAATATCTGCGTCACAACTGTCACATTTTATTCTGCCTCATTAATCTTCTCACAAAGCGCCTCCAGAATCTTTCAAGGCGCTCAATGGAAAATTCATCCATGCTGTAAAATTGGGGCTCCGCACAGGAGAGACATCTCTCTGAATGACACGAGGGGAGGCGCTGTGCCACACACACACACACACACACACATACATACACTGCCCTGTACCTCATATTTAAATTCAATCATCTCCTGCAGGACTGTGGTTGTCAAAGGCTAAAGACTGCAAACTTCGAAATACATTAAAAAAATGGGACACTCGGGCTGAAACGACCTGGTTTGAATTGTTTGATGTCTTCAGCCTCAATAACTTATCTCCTGTGGTCATGCAGATGGTGGTGACACAGTTTTTAAGTGTTGAAAAAGTAAGCAATCAGAAAGTCTGGAGCAGCACAAGCTTTACAGTGGACCTTTTAGAATGAAAACAATGAAAATGAATATGTCTATTAATGCATAGCATAAATGAACAAGGTGTCTTTTTGTG